CACCGTATACGTGGAATAATGATTAACGTTGTGTTTTTTCAAGAATTTTTGCACATCGGCATTGTAAAACTCCTTCCCCATACCCATTTGCAAGTTTCTCGGGCATCTTCCGCTCTTTTGAATTATCTTAGCGATAGCGTTAGCGGTCTCGCTGTCAATCTTGCTCTTAAGCGGTATGGCCCAGGCGTACTTGTTCGATGATGATGAGCATGTAGTGATAACTTCTGTTGAAACTCGAGTATGGATGCATCTCGACGATATCAGCCTGTCATACATCGTCGTATCCCCGAATTACGACACGTCTTCGCGGAAAATTTCTCCTCACCGGAGCGTGCAATTCCTCAACGAGTCATCGCCTCTCGGAGCTAACATTTTTTTCACGTCTATCAGATCTCATTTCATTTCGACGATGTTTAATAGTAAATAAGATATACAATTTAAAATTGTTTTTTCCTCACTGACGTCAATCGACTGACTCGTTTCGTCGATACGCGATTAATTTATAATAATGCCGGCTTCGCGAAGCCTCGATGGCAGCATCTCGTTGTCGTGAGCGTTGTTACCAGCCAGTGCGAAGCGAGTCGAGTAATCGGAGTCGATCCACCAGCTCGTTGGGATCGTCCCAATGCACGTAATCTTGTTGTCATTTAATTTCATAGTGGATGGTATATTACCAATACTTGCACTCTTTTTACCTCTTTTCTTATATGTAGATACGAGCGGAGCGATGATATTAATATACTTGTATCTCTTGTTGCTCGTAATGGGGCATTATAGACGCTATGACCACGTCTATGAGCATTCGTTATTAATAGTATATTTTTATTTGTTTGTTATCTTCGGTGAATACAGCTTCATCGGGAAGTCTCTTGAAAATCAATTTGTAAATCCTGGTGTACCTTTGTATCTCACATTGTCTATGATAATGGAGTCATCTTTGTCAACGTCAAATTTTTTGTCATCGAGCATCGTACCACTTTTATCGAAATAGACACCATACACATTATCGATCGCTTTATCTATGTCGTCACCGAGAAGAAGACCCACGTACTTTCGTCCCAACGATCCTAGCTGATCATGAAGCATCTCGCGGCTTCTTCTTTGCGTTTGCAGAGTCTGTTTGATGATTATTTTCGGTGACGGTTCATTGCTGACGTCTTTTGTCTCAAAAACATCTTCGTTTCTCACAAACGACGATATTTTCGGTGGTTTTTAGATAATTCTTTCGGCGGTTCTTTCGATAGTTCTTTCGGTGTAAATTTGTACGTGAATGAATCTGACATGGCGTTCAATTCTTTTGTATATTGCTTTTTGGCGGCGTTAATTTCAACCATCCAACATCCGTCCAATACGAATCCCTGTTAGTTGTAGTGTTATTATCGCTTTCATCGCTACGTTTCTTTTTCTTAATAGCGATATCCTTTGCAACATTGGTTTCTTTTTTAATCGGCTGAGATTCCTTGATGTTTTCAACAATCTGTTTTAGAGGTTCGACGATGGGATTGAAACGTCTCTCCAACGCTATATTTTCAGCTATTTTATCAGTTTTCAAAGCGCGATATTTTTTGCGAATCGAATCACTCATTTTCGCAATCTGTTTCGCTATTTTTTCGCGATCTTTGGTGTTATCCATGTTATCTGCTTGACATATCGGCATTGACTAATCACGTTATAGTACCGCGAACATGTTAAATTCTTTTCTGTATCGCCCATTGATAAGCGTCCTTATCTATCAGTAAGAAATCCATACTTGCGCTGCTAACAATCGCGGCATAATGCACAGAATTCATCGTACGACATGTCGGTATTTACGTGATCGTTGTAAACATGTTTCAAGTTGGTACCATCCTGTTTAAATAGGATCAGCAGATTCGCATTGTCGCGTATCAGATGTTTAGGTATTCTCGCGTATGTCTGACAGAGATAGAAGCAATCGACGTTCGAGTGGCGGCCCATCGAAAAGTATTCTGTCACCGCATTTTGTTTATCGCACATAACATTGTCGAAGACAAAGATCGAATTGGGACGTGCCTCGCTCGGTGGAATCATCATTGTTGTTGGAGAACGTAAAATAATTGATTTCGTCGATCGATGTCAACAAAGTTTCGAGATATCGATATTTTAATTGTTGCAATGATTTCGAGGAACTTACATGTTCTCGAAACGTAGTTCTTGAGCAAGCTTATGAGAACGTTGGTTTTACCACAATTCGACGGTCCGCAAATGGCGCGTATAGTATTCGGTAACATTTCACCGTGCTTACGCTTCGTCGCAATGTCCCCCATCTTTCTCGTCGCAGTTCGCGATGCGTATCGTCAATGGCTACCACACGAATTTCATGTTTCCACTTATTTAGGCTTCGATCGAACGCCTATTTATAGAGCTGCGAAACCGTGAATCGCTCAATTGAAAAAATGTATCTCGCGCTGTATATCGCATCCCTCCGATATTCGGAATTTGAGCGCTGAGCAGTTGCAATATATACCGAAGGTCGTACTGTTACGCGTGTGCGGCGAGTATATCGACCACGTGTGGGAGCTTCCGGAACATATAAAGACGGATTTTGAGGTTCGAACTTATCGTCACTGCGTTGAGCATTATAACCAATCGTGGCAACGTATGTACATCGACGGTCCCGCACTGAAGATAAAGGATTGTAGCATATGTCAGCAGTTTCAAATGAAGGCTGCATTGAGGTCTGCTCAATCGAGCGATAAATGTGCTTCCTTTCGAATTACATATCCCCGGCTATCAGTTTTGCGGCCCAGGTACTCGGCTGAAGAAGCGATTAGCCAGAGGTGAAACGAGAATAAATCCACTGGACGCGGCATGCCGTGAACACGACATTGCGTATTCTCAGAGCAACGATCTCGCCAACAGACACGCGGCGAACAAGGTACTCGCCGATAGAGCTCTAGGACGCGTCATCGCGAGAGATTCGACTGTGAGCAAGAAAGCTGCAGCTGCAGCCGTTTGGACAGCGATGAAAGCCAAGACCAAGATCGGCATGCGTATGAAAGCGAAGAAAAAAGCCGGCAAAAAAAAAGAAACGAATACTTCCAACGGCGAAACGAGGTGGTGTGTTACCGATTCTGTCAATTTTGGGCGCTCTCGGATTCTTAATCGGCGGAGCGGCCAGCGTGACGAAAGCGATAAACAACAGAAAAGTCGCGCGACGTCAACTCGAGGAACTGCATCACATCGCGACAGGGACTGTATCTCGCTTCGTACAAATACGGATTATATCTCATTCCGTATAAACGCGGACGAGATGTAACAGTGAAAAAAGGAAAAAAAGAAAAAAAACGCCAAAGAGACAATAAAAGTACCTACAGGTGTAACCATCAACGTACAATTGGGTCAGCTGGCGAGACGTATGCGCGTATCGTACTTCAGAGATGTTTTCATGTGTAATGCGTTACCGATTAGTGGGGCGCGTCGAAAGGAGAGCGATATCGTAAATCTGGACGACGCAATGAGTCCCGGTACTCATTAGGTAGCGTACGCAAAGAGAAACGATCGCGTCGTGTAACTTCGACAGTTTCTGTAATCTTCGAGCGCCTGAGAAACTGATGCGATATTTCGGAGACAGTGTTACGACGATAGAGTACAATCGAACCTATCATAGAGTACAATCGAATCCTATCAGACATACGATCAGAACGTCTGCGGACAGCTGTGCCTGTGGTTTCTCCAAACAATCGACGCGCGTGAATTTATAAAGTCCGACAAAATGTCGCGACATCTCAGTATTCGTTGAACGCTTTTTCCATCATGTCGCTGACGCTTACGCTAAGTGGGAAGAGCAGTGTTCTCGCGGCAAATTACTTTCCAGCCATAGATTTGAGCGACGATGATTACTTGATTTAACAATTTTAGAGACTTATCATACGATACCGAATGTAAACGCTTCGAACAATATATTTTACTTTGACAAAGACGACGCAGAAATTACGATTCCCGAGGAGTCGTACGAACTGCAGGCCATAAATAAATTTTTGAAACGTGAGATTTTACAGAAACGACCGCGACGCGCCCGATGGTAACACCGCTGGTGACACCGCGTGCGGCGATGACGAGATTGGAGAATACTCGATATTTACTCCGCGCAAATTACAACACGATGAGATTACAGCGATAAGGTAAGAATACCCATACAGCAACAGGATCTGTACACATTGCTGTACGAAAACTTTCTATATGTCGAGGAAAAACTAACGAAGAACAGAGTTGTCGAAGGATCTGATGTGGTGTTGAGAAATAATTTTGTTGCATTCACACTGCATGAGATTCGATACGAGCTCGATGGTGTTGATCGTAACAGAAACGTGGGCATAACTAGTACGTTCAAACATTATAATGACGTCATCCAACAGAAGCGTGATTCTGAGGAATACCGGTTGGGATGTGCATACTAACGCGGATGGATATTTTAACTTTTGCGTATCTCTCTACGCACTGTTGGGATTCTGCGAGGATTACAGACGCGTGGTAATCAACGCTCGTCACGAGTTGATTTTGATACGATCGCGTAACGACAATTGCCTGATAGGAAATTCGGCGTTGGTCGACTTATTCAAGATACAATGGCGAATGCCGCACGTGTTATTAAGCGAGATAAAAAAACTATCGATGATGCGCACTTTGAAGAGCGGACGATATTTGAGCATGACTTTTCGCTCATGGGATCTGTACGAATTTCCGCTGTTATGACGTACAACCAAGCATTCGTGGACCATTAAGACCGCTACTCAGCTCGAGAAGCCGCGATACGTCATCTTCGTTTTGCAAACAGGCCGAAAGAATGTCATGGTTGAGGACACGAGTCGATTCGACGACTGCAACTTGACCAACGTGAAACTCTATCTGAACTCAGAATGTTATCCGACGATATGAATCTGGATTTTGACAAAAACAGATGGTCCGTGTTGTATGAAACGTACGCGCGTTTCTGCAAGGATTACTGCGGATACGAGTATCTCGAGCCGAGTCTCACCGTCATGTTTTTTCTACATAACGTAATCATCGATTGCTCTCGACAAAACGAATCGGTCAAGAATGCAACCGTAGACGTGAGATTGGAATTTGAGACTAAGGAGAACGTACCGATGAATACTACCGCATACTGTCTCATTGTACACGATCGCATGGTTCAGTACAATCCGTTGACCAATGTTGTACGTAAGATCACCTAAAAGTGACATATGAGAGAGAGAGAGAGAGACAATAAAATCTACGATACATCGAAATCGACCGCAGTCGAAAAATTGCTCGTCGTGCCAACGTTCGTAGATCTGCAAGGTTTCCTCGTTGGAGGACAGTTTGTCGTAAAGGAGTTTGCTGCTTTCAGAGAACAGACCGTTCTCTCTCACTATATTTTCACAAACCCTATATCATGGCATTTCTTCGCAAGTGCTGACAAGTCTTACGCACGCTGGGTGATACGTTATCACTATAGACTGCGATGGGACGATGGAACGATTCCATACAGCAAAGAATTTGATTACAAAGGCTGTGCATGAAACGAAAATGATGACAATGATGACGACGACGACGATGACGACGACGACGACGATGCTGTCATATACGTCATAGGACACGAAACACGACAATGGTTGTGGAATTTGCTTCTGGACGATAAGCGAAAGTGCGTACATCGAGACTCTGGATGCGGATTATGATGACCTAGATTCTCTGAACAATCTGGACGCTGATAATATGCGGATATCACTAATTGCGCTTTACAAAATGTATTCAAATTGTTTAATTGGTGGTCAGATAATCATGAATAAAATAAACATAATATACGATGTTTTTTTATTCCTTTCCACTGCGTTGATAATATTCTAATGATCGATGTACCGTTCTTAGCGCCACGAGAAGTTTATCTTGCCGAGGTGATTCATCACGCGTCGAGCAGGAATGTATCATATGTCAGTGCACGTGACAAAGAAATTACACGATTTAAAAAAATGAAAATTTTTTTTTATTCATTTTTTTACATAATTTATTTGAACTAAATATTTAATAATTGATTAATTGATTAATTAATTAATTAATTAATTAATTAATTGATACCGACACGCTCTCTTCTTTCTATTTGAACATGGCCGATATAATAGTCATAATGGTCGCGAAGTGCTCTATGCAATTGAACACTTCCGATCCTTTGCCTTTTTCTTGGCCTTTATAACACGCTCGTTCAGTTTCTTTAGAAATTTCTATCATAGAGTCAACGATATCTATTGTTCTTTGCTCATTGACAATGATATATTGTACGCACTTCCTCTGTAATGATGGTATATGCATGTCTCCAGAAATTTTTTGGGATGAATCGAGAAGTGGGGGAATCAGGGATTGCATTTCTTCACAAAATTGTGAGAATTCGGGATGTAATGTCTTCTTATCTCTCTTTAGCGATATCCTCACTATATAAAAAAGATTCAAAAAATTATGAGCCATTATGTATATACACACCTCATTGTTCTTATAATATACTCATAACTGACCTTGTCTTATCAATACTTTCCACAAATGAGCAGACAGGGGTGGAGCATCCTTATATGTCAATCAATGTGATACTTTGCGTTTTTGTATGCAATCATATTTTTTTTGTATACATGTTAGCTTTCTCTCTCACATTTGATTTCGTCTACTGTGATCCTGCACATGATCCTCATGACCCATTATATAGCATCGCCAATTTCTTTGTCCCTTTGTCCCTCTGTCTAAATCGGAATGTCGGATGTTTGCAACCGAATCGCAATTTGTTTATCTATTTGTTTATAACTTTTATTATCTTTGCAATTTGTTTATAGCAGCCGGAGTATCGACGCTTCTTTCTTAACACGTCGATACGTACGTTGATTTTTTTAGGAAAAGCCATCTTTGGCTCCTCCTAGAAAAAAAGCGGCGCCGCTATATTCTCATATATTTATCATCTCTTTTTGTTGCGCTCTTTCTCTCTATCGTATACGTATACCTTCCATCTCTCTCCCGTCTTTTTCTTATTTTATCCATAGTGTTTAGTCTCTTATACTTTTTTATCTTTGTTTTCTAAATGTTCAATCTCATGCAATGAGTCTTGTGGCGGCATATTGGCAGTCATTGAAACGTCTTCGCAATGACATCACCCGGCAATAATTTTGTGCGCGAAGAATCGCCGGTATGCGAAAAATCGCCTGTGCGTCGAAGAATCACCTGTGCGCGAAGAATCGCCTGTGTGCGACGAATCACCGGTACGCGAAAAATCGCCTGTGCGCCAAGAATCGCCGGTGCGCGAAAAATCGCCTGTGCGCGAAGAATCTGTATGCGAAGAATCGCCGGTGCGCGAAAAATCGCCTGTGCGCGAAGAATTGCCCGATGTGTTAGACAGTAATGAAATGCCCATAATATTTCCCGACGAGAATAATGGTGATGATAGTGATTTTGAAGAATTTTTTAACAATTTTACTAGGAGCGTTTTGATTTTATACATATGTGGATAAATATTATCCGCACTGATTATAATGATGGTATTTTCGCGATGCATGCGGAGGAACAGTATATTTATTACGTTCCCAACGACCCTTACATCGATATTGTGCAACTGCCTTGGTCAGAATTGTATGAACTTATTTTACTATAGTTGCATGATTTCAGCGGAGGATGAGGAGGAGGAGGAAAATTATCCAGAAGCTGAAGTTCCAGCAGATAATTTCGAGGATACGGATGAAGTCCCCCTCCCAATCCGGAAGGGGGGTATAAAATTATTTCTTTCTTTTGTATTTTAAGCAACTTTTTTGGATTGTTAAATATTTCTTTTGTATGTGTATTTTTTAAGTGATATTTTCTTAGATTATTGTGACATTTCTTTTTGTGTGTGTATTTTTAAGTGACATTTTTTCTTGGATTATTGACATTTCTTTTGTTTGCGTGTATTTTTTAAGTGACACTTTCTTAGATTAGTCTTCTATAACCTCAACTGGTGAATCTTTTTAATTTTTCTTTTTTTATTTTTTATTCGACGGCGGCGGAGCGGCGGCGAGCGCGGCGGGGCGGCGGGCGCGGCGGCAGCAGGCGCGGCGATGGCAGGCGCGGTGGGACGGCGGGCCCGGGCCCCCTTCTGACGTCATGTTCACGCGCAATTTCTTATATCATC